GGACTGGAGAAATATTTGAAGTACAAGTAAATTATATGTTTATATGAATACTTTACCGGAAAAACCCGAAACAACCCGAAAAATCGAAAAATCCGAAAAAACCTGAGGTTGAAAAACTTGAGTTTTATTGTTTTGGTTTGGTTTATAAATTTAAAAATCCAACACAAATGGTTTGGTTTGATATTTGAAAAACCCGAACCAACCCGGCTGTGTACACCCCTACTCTTTATATAGGCATGAGCTAGAGTTTAGCTTAGATCAGTAACATCTAAGAATCTTAACTGAAATAGAACTCGCCTGACAGAGTCCTGCAAAATTTCAATGTCTTGTACCCAATACTTCAAAACTAGATGAGCTTTTTTCAAAATACCATTCACCGAGACCACATAGATCTATATGTAATGATCTTTTTATATTACTTTAATAATGATTAGTTAACTTGCTCTTGACTAACCCAAAAATAGGCATTATTTACGAAAGATAATCACTACTACTCTGATTACATTGACTGATCCAGGAGAAAAGAACACTTAAGTATCAAATGATTAAAAAGAAAATTAAAATAATAATTTTTCAAACGTCATTTGAATTTTGATAGCGATGACGAATTATTGAAAATTCAAATGTTCGATCGTTATATGAAAATGATGTATTCCCTCAAATTTGTTTAAAAGATAAATTCCTCTCCAACTTTGAATTATTGAGATTTTTGTTTTTGTTTTTAGAAGTATTATAACATACTCATAATTGCAAAACTTGATGATCTCGAGTTTTTAGAAGTCTAGTTAAAGTACGATTGGTTAGAAGATTGTGAGTTATATGTTAAAGTATATTTTTTGCTTCTTAAATTATATAAAAACAAATACTAACATATAAAATGAAACATAAGGAGTATCATATAAAAAGAAAAGGAAAAAAGAATTGGAGAGTGGATTGGATTGAAATTTCACCATGTATTTGAATTTGACCATAGTTTTTTTAGAAACATATTCTACTATTTTTTATAATAAAAAAAATGAAACATAATTTATATTCATAAATTTATTATTATTATTATAATTACTAGATAATACACTATTCAAAAATCATGGTGTACACTATATTTTGATAAAAACTACTAATAACCAAGTACACTATCCCCCATACTAGAATTAGTTAAAGTCATAAATAGACATCTTAGAAATATATTATCCCCCATACACCTATATATATATATACTCCATTCCTCCCTTTCAATTTCAACTACATAAAAATAGCAAAGAAACAAACACCACTTCCCCTTCCAAATATAAAAATGCATCAAGAAAATTCAACACAATTTGATCTAAGCATTCTTGATTCACCACTAGAACATCAATTCAACGGCTTCAACTTGGAATCAATCTCCTCCGATCGATCCATCAATCATACATGGGAGAAAATAGACAAAAATGAAGATAATATTCCTCAGTCATCATCACAAGCACCAAATAACTGGAAGAGATATAGAGGTGTACGTAGGCGTCCGTGGGGAAAATTCGCTGCCGAAATTAGAGATCCGAAAAGAAAAGGCGCTAGGCTTTGGCTTGGAACTTACGCAACTCCCGAAGATGCGGCATTGGCTTATGACCGAACTGCGTTTAAATTAAGGGGTACACGCGCCTTATTGAATTTTCCTCACTTGATTGGCACGAACGTCGCTGAGCTAAACAGAGTTCGACCTAAGCGACGTTCGCGATCAACCGAAATAATTAAGGAGGAAGAAATTCCGAGTCCAAAAAGAAGAAATCCTCAGCTAATAAATAGTATAGCTAAAGTCAATAGTATTATACATATGTTTGAAATCACTAGTTTGGCATTTCATCCTCAAGGTAAAAGTAAATAAATTATTATCTAAGTTTGAATTAAAAAAATATATGGAGATGGAAATACTCTTCTTTTCTTTCTTTGTTTTTTCGTGAAAAAAGACTGGACTTATGAGCTTATTATTCCTTTTTTTACGTTCTTATGTTTTACCTCATAAGGTAAACTTCAAGTTTGTTTTTATGAAAAACGAATCTAATTATATTAGTGTATATAACTAGTAGCTATGTGTATGAATGTTTTTTTCGCGCTTCGATTTGGATCTTCAATGATAAATACTAGTATATATTAAGATTGTCGATTGATTAGTTTAATCTAGACATACGTATAAACTCCTTAATTAACATTGAATTAAACCATCTTTTTTAATGCTGAGTATTCAGGTATAAAATTTGATGAGTTATTTTCATATGTGAATTTACTAGTCTAGAGGCAAAGTTAAAGTTTTTTTGTATTTATGAATTTTGAATTTTACAAAACGTGATTTAATAAATTATTGCTATAGTGCTTTGACATTTTTCAATAATTTAGATTCTTTAAACTACTTTCACTTTAATATTGATGTGAAATGTACTTTCTCTAACTTTGTACTTCTTTCTATATTATTATCACTTAAAAATACTATACTTCTTCCAAAAAGTTACTACCAAATATTCTCTTTTGGAAGGGAAAAATAGTTTTAGTGATTAGTGAAAGAGAATTCTTAACAATATTGAAAACAATAGAGAAAATACATAATTACCCCATTGAATTTATATCAACTTTTGAAATAGACATCTAAAGTTTGCGCGAGTCCTATTACCCTACGAAATTATTTTAAAGTAGCATATATACCTCCTTTTTCGGTCATTTCCAGTTGTAATAAGGCAGGTGCAAATCACACACCAACCCTAATCTACCACCTGTCATCCACTATTTAACTTTTAATTCTTTTCATTTTTGCCTTTAATTTTCTATTTTATTTCCTTTTCTTTTCTTTTTTGATTTTTTTCTCTTTTAAATTTCTATTTTACCTCTGATTTCTCAAATTTATTTTTTGAATTCCACCACCACAAATCATAGTGACAACACTCCATCATTGCACTACTTAATCACTACTACATCATGACAAATAATCAAATATGAAAATTAGAAGTTCTATCAAACCAAAATTTAAATCATCATCTTCATCCTAAATCGCCTTTTTTATCTATTAACATCACCATTTTCGATCTTTAAGTTTTAGGAAAGAGAAAACTACTTGGTTAAGTTTTGAAAAGAAGAAGATAGAATCTAATAATATTGCATTTTAAAATATAAAATTTGAGAAAGAACGGTGGTTTTTAATTTTTGGCCTGTTGAAAAAGCTTCTTAAAAGACTATTAATGGTGATTTGGGGAAAATGGAAAGATGGGTCTAATTTATTAATTAAAAAAATCAAATTAAAAATGCCACATGGTATTTTAACATTGATTTGGGGTTGTAATACTGCTCCTTCACGCGCCCAACTTTCGTGAGAACACAATTGCAGTAGAAATTGCTGAAAAGGGTGTATTTATCGTGAATATAAATAGTTTCATGGGAACCCCCGCAAACTTTAGGTGTCTACTTCAAAAAAGGTACAAGTTTAATGGGATTATGTATTTTCTCAAAACAATATTATCAAAATTTAATAAGAGAATCTTCATGAACAACATCCATTATGTATATGTGGGGATAATTAATGAGAAAATACACCGAGTCTCTTCTAAATTTGTATCTATTTTTAATGTAGATATCTAAAAATTTTGAGGGTCTATTAGCCCACAAAACCATTTAAATTTATCATAAGTATATAATTTCCAATCATTTTCACAATAATTGTGTTCTCATGAAAGTTGAGTGTGTGAAAGAATAATAATACATTTCCTAATAAGTGTAATTTTAAATGTCTACTTAAAAGAATATGTGCAAATTTAAAAGAGGCTTTATGTATTTTTATCTATAATTAATTAGACAAATTATAACAACTAATGACACAACACATATAAAATGAAATAGAAAGTTAGCCAGCTGTTTCATTTTAATCTTAATTTATATTTCATGATTCCATACATGATCAAAATAAGACAAAATAAAAAGTCCATTCACATGTATTTACATGTTAATTAAATCTTTCGAATCGTTTCAAGAGATCCTATTTAATATAATAAGATTTTTAAAAATAAAAATAAAATTGTGTCCATCTTGTCAAGCGTGGAGGAATAATATTATCAGAGTAGGTGGAGGAACTTGTATACCACTTTGTTGATGAAGACTTCCGAACTAAGGATTTAGACCGTAGAAGGGACGATTTTGTCTATTCAAAAGAAGAATAATTTGCTCTCTAGCCGACTGATCTAATTGATCATATAATTAGAACGGAACGTGTCATTAGAGGTGACACGATTAGAGATGTCCTCTAATTACTATCATGACGTTGATCCCTCTTTTAGTAGACTCAGCTATAAGTATTCATTCAAAAATGAATGTCAGGCGTTTTCTTTCATTACTAACTCCATTTTCAACATGCTGAAACTTTCTTTTCATCCCTAGAGTTCCAAAAAGAAAAAAGGAGGGATCGGGGGGAGTTAAAAAATACAGATCGAGAACATGTAGACTGAGGTTACACTTGAATAAAAAATAATTTTATTTTAAATCGGTTATATATGTAAAAATGAAGATTTCGAATAAAATATAAAATTAAAAATAAATTCATAAAAGGATATAAAATCAAATCTTCCAACCGACTTTTTTTCAAGATATACATTTAAGAAATTAAAAGTCATTAAAGACAACGTGACAAAAATTGAAATTTCTAGTTAATTGACAACATTTTAATTAATAACAATTCAATCAATTTTATGATGTATTCACCAACAAATTAGGTGGGGTGGTTATCTTTGTTGGCATTAAACCTTTTGTAATGCAAATTATAATAAAGAAATTTTTGTGGCTTATTTTTTCGCTTTCTTTATTCTCGTGGTTTTGTTTTCTTTTTTACTTCTTTATTTTATGTGAAAGATAAAAAAAAAAAAATTATATTGAATTATTCTTTATTAGACTTATAAATTCAAGTAAATGAATGTGATCTGGCGTATCTAAGAAATATAATCTAAATAAACAAAACTGGTTGATTTGCCCCTTTTCATTGCACTCGAGATATACGTGAAGCCTAAACCAAATCTTGTTTTTGCAAAAAATATTTTTAAAGTTAATCAATTTAATTAACGTTACAACCGTGATTTTGAAACGTTGTCATCTACCTATATATACATGTTCAAATTTCTCTTGTTAACACACAAAAAATATTCTTTTTATTATTCTCTGTATAGTAGTATTTCACGATTCAACTTTCTAAACAATTTATATATGCGAACTTGAAACTTCCAACAACAAGTGTTGGTGTTTGGGAGTATTGTGGAACCTTGAAGAACGATGGATCTAAACTATTTATACCAAAATTAGGGTAAAATCACTTTTAAGACAGACTTGCCACGATAATGATTTGATAAGTTTTATTACTTTTGTTTATGTTCAATATTAATATTATATAGTATTTTTCTAATAATTTGAAAGCGACTTTCTGCATAAAATATTGATCATCAGCTAAGGCATATTCGCATTATACCAACGATACTAAGAGCAACAAATATATGAGAGAAATATTCATTTATGAAACAATTGATATAATCCTTTTACATGTACCAACAATCTCTTCACACCAAGCATGAGTCTGTACATATTTGCAAGATTTAAAATGTTGGCTTCATTTTATTCTTTTAACAAAATATAAATTCATGGATTTAAAATCCTGATTTAGAATTTCAAATCATGTTTTTCTGAGAATTTATATCTCAAATCATATATTCAAATACTAATTTAAAATCATGACTTCATATCACATATCCAAACGCAAGCTAACGATTTCAATGTTCTTTTCTTGGAACAACTCAACAAAGAAAAAGTGATTTAATTTGAGATGGAAATAATAGCAATACCACATATCATTCTCAAAATAACAATTGCAATTGGGATGTAAGTAGTCCAACAGAGAACAATACATCTTGGGATTTCACAATTACAAGGTGGTAACAGAAGCCATCTGGGCTCCATAACCTCTCTTTCAAATCAAAAGTTTCAAAACAAGAAAAGAGTAATAACATAGTTCAGCAATGGACAAGCAGCAAGCTTCGCCAAATGGACGATAAGTAACAGACATGGCAGAAAGGGAAGAAATCCGAACAATACAATCACTTAAGAGTCTGGTAGACTTATTTTTATTTAGCAGCAGATATTATACCGGTTTGTTTCTCGTATACAAACTCTCCAGCAGTAAATGATTGGTTCTCTCCAGATTGGATACTTCTCTTCGCGTACAAATGTCCACAATATGCTACCTCTAATACAGTTGCATCCTTGTTAAGCTCAGTAAAGATGGAACCTATTCCTTCACCTGGATTAATGAAAGAAGAGTTAATAAGAGATCAAGAATGCTATTGGGGACTTAAGCCTTCTACTTTTACTAAGAAAATAGCACGAATATACATTTTCTGTAGAATTAGGTACAACCAGTTTCAACGATCATTGATGCACCAATCAAGTCGTAGTTATAATCAAAGCCACTCATTTAAGATTTTCAATCATGAAAAGGAAAAAACAATACTAGATCTACCAATTTACAGTTTAGCAGTTGCTTTATGATAAATGAAACTTAGGCAAGAGTATTGATGCCACCTAACAGGTCCAGCAGGTCCCTTTCATGAGGAAGGGTTGTGTTTCCAATTTTATCTAATCGCTAAAACTCCAGAGTGTGTAGTTATGGAAAAGTTCATGGCATGCAACTGACAAAGGGAAAACGCACAGCCACAAGAAATCTAAACATGTGACACGTGAGAAAGAAACTACTGCAGATAGCAAAATAGAGAGCAATCTGACACCACAAAGATACGCCATTTAAATTGAAACACATCTAATTGATTTTGCCACTGCAGAAGCAGTCTCTTACAAGTGCCCTGTATGCTCTTTGGAGACTAGAAAGTTTTCACTCACCACATCACAACCTACATTGCACCTAGAGATGCAAAACCAAGAAAGAACACTTACCATGTGTGACTAACAACAGGTTCTCAGAAGGATACTTATCAGCAAGGGCCTTAACTACCTCCACATATCTAGCCCTTGCACTTTCCAACGACTCTTCCCACTCTGGCAGCTGCAGTTTAAGAAGAATAAGATATCATGAGTAGAGGCAAAAGTGGATCATGCATATACTCAACTATGCAACAAATAAATCGAAGCAAGAACTCATATCCTACAAAATACCTTCTTATACACAGGTTCAACAGTGTTATCTACAGTTCCAGCAGGCAACTCAGATTCATATTGTGAGATGCTGAATTTGAAATCCCCATCCTTAGGAGCTACAGCAGCTCTTACGGCTATTAAATTCAGCATTTCACACAAACCATATTCAATAGATACCTGAAATGTAAAAAAAGAAATATGTTAAAAGTTATCCGGAAAGAGAGTGAAGAGAACAATTTTCAAAAAACGTGACAGTAAAGAAAATCCATTTGATTTGAATGCTGATGTTCAGCAAAAGTATGTATTTATATTTGTGCATGTTTCTCATACCCCTGCTTCTATAAAGACTCAAAGTGAGTCATATCAATTTTGCAACAAGTTTCATGGCACAGAAGAAGCATATTCAAATCTAAATCCTGGTATAACTACTTAGGTGACCATATTTATTACTGATTAGAGGCTCACACCATAGAGAAAATAGAAATACTAATGAAATTCATAAGATTTTTCATGACAGGATTGAAATGGGTGGATGCATCAGTACATGGTGGAAACATTTAATGATGGAATAGCTCCATTTAGTAAGTACTATATTGTCAATGTGAGATTTAGCATGAAAAAGGGCAGACCGTTCCTTGTTTTTTCTTCTCCACACTTTTTTTTTTTAATTTGACAAGTCAAAATAATTTTTATTAATATATACCAAAATGCTGCTAACTGTACACACGGAAATATTAGAAGTATGCTCTAGAGTGAATTGCACAAGTAACCTTCATGAATTTCCATGCACACTTTCCTACTTCAGGCTGAAGATCCTACATGCTTATTCATAATGAATCTGCAGGTCTTGGGTTATTGATATGGCTATCGAAGTTTTAAACCAGGAAATCACAAATCTGGTAATTCAAATATCCTCACACTAGAACAACCGGACTCCTGAATAAGGATTTCTCCTTTCTTACTGTTTTTGATATCAACTAAAAGAACAGGACCGAAGCAAACCAAACCAAACCAAACTTTGTCTAGTATTATCCACAAACAGAATATAAACAGACCAAATCGAATTAACCTAGTATGGCAAAACCAATCAGAACTCTACTGTCTAGTGACAAATTTATGTTAAGAAGGGCAGTGATGCACCAATCAGTTCTAAGTGGAACATGCTTTGCAAGAAAAATTTAAACATAACGAAATCAATAATAATTTGGAAGAGAAAAAAACTAAAGCTAAATAATATTTACGAAAATAACATATTAATTAAGTGCAGAAACCATTTGAAGTGTCTAACTTAGATGTGATGATGCAACTAGTATTCGAACCTATCAGGTACTTTTATCGACATAAATTTCTAAAATTCTACTCCGAATGATTCACAGTAGTATCTGGACGAAAGAAACTAAAATGAAGTCTACAACAACAACTTAATGAAGTCTGAAGAAAAGAACATATCAATCAACTGCAGGAACTATTTTAAATGTTCAACTTAGATGTAATAATGCAGCTATAAGTTTCTAACTCAAACTTATTTAGTTTTCTTTTACTAAAATTCTAACTTCCCACGATTAACGCATTCATAATATTTATTTTAGAATTGACATATCACTTTCTCAACTACATTTATTTATTTAGCACTGATCTCTTCAAGATAAAGCCCATGAGCAATGGGACTCATGTCTTAAGCAAACTGCCTTTCTTGGACTGCATCTAGATTCAAGGCTTAAGTACGCCTTAAATGAGTTTTAAACGGCACTCACATACTTACTATAGTACCGACCAATATGCATGCTCAAACACAAACATATAAAGTATGTCTAATATAAACCTAATTAGAAACTCATAGATGCATCACTACACATCTAAGTTAGACACTTAAAATGGTTTTTGCACTCAACTGATATGATGTTTTCGTAGATATCATTCAGTTTTAACACACCTCTATTTTTAGAATAGAGGTGTGCTGAAATTTAATTTCCTAGTCTAATCATCATAAGTTGTTCGACAAGAAGTTATATGGTCTGGTTATTTACCTTGAGAAAAAAAATTCTTAAGTTCCTCCAAAGTCAAGGATTTGTGTGAATTTTAGGCAAAATGAACCAACTAATTGCAGCAATGGCTATAAAGGGTACATATCAAGTCAAGGATTGAACATTTTCTTTTCTTCAAAAAAAAAAAAAAAGAGTTGATGTGTGACCTCAGATGCTTAACAGTAAGGATGACAGGGAAAAAAACCAGAAAAGGTCACAGTTGCAACAGTGGCCTTTGCTCCGTTAGGAATCTACTGTAAGTTGTAAGTCAAGTATATGTCTTTTTCTTCTTTTTTTTTGATGAGAAAATATATCTTTTTACTTTGTGACAGATAAAAATAAAAGCACAACTTTTAAGCATACAAAAGTTTTCTTATAACAAAAAGCAGTTCTTACTAGTAGTACTATATAAAGACTATCAATGATGTATTCTCCCTGTAAAAAGTTAAGCTTTTAGACTAGGTGTAACCAGGGTAAGGCCTGCATACACACCAACTCTCAGACCTTATTTGTGAAATTACTCGGGATATGTTGTTGTTATTGGGGGCGGAGCTACACTTTTACTTACGGGTTCAGCTAAACCAATAGCTTTGGCTCAAACCTACTATTTTTGATACTTAAAAATTCCGAACTCATAAACTCAAAAACATAGCTTCGATTCTGGGTCTCTAACACCAATTCAGCAAAATAAAAGATGAAAAAGGAGAGAAACTGTACTTTGACTTTAGATGGATCAATGATGACTGAATCGGAATTGGATGACAAGACATTAGACTCGCCGCTGTGATCAGCAACGTCACAAAGAGCACGTACGACCTCTGCAGCAGTCTGCACACATCGGAGAAACGGAGAAACGAAAACCCGATGGATCGGGAAATCAATACTGGATCGGATCTTTTGACCCGTACAAAATGCCCGGATCTTACCATCCTGATGCAAAGGTGGGTCCCACGGCCTTTCCGCTTTCATCACCCACAATTCCTCAAAGTTATCCAACCGGTCACCGTGTCTCATTACGATTACGTTTTGATTTTCCTGCGTCGCCATTGTTGATACCAAAATTTAGTAGTACTATTTTATTTTTTTCTGTTTCGTACGGTGAAGATCTAGAGATTATTTATATAGAAAATGTAGAATGCGAATGGTGATTTTGGAGTTAGGATTTTGAAGGTTCGGAGAAAGAGGATGGAAGAAAAAGAAGGAGAAGAGCAATATGAGAAACTGCGATGGAACTTCTCTAATGGCGGACAAATTGGATGCTATTCAAATTACACGGTTCTTATTTCTTCGTCTTTGACTTTTTCGACTTTAACAAAACAATGCGACATTTGAAGAAACTGCCTGTAAACTTCACAGTTTCATTTAGAGGTAACGGTCAATAACACAATATCTACCGTGCGGTGAATGAGATTGCGCTTTATTTAATTAGAGGTCATGAATTCGAGCGTGCTTATCACTGTGGAGAAAATCTTGTTGGAAGCACCACCCCAAATAGGCCTTATGATGTGTGATTCAAATTTAGTTGGGGTACCAATACGGTCTATGCACCACCAATGTGGTGGGTGGATGAGATTCAGAGATGGAGCTAACTAGGGATTCATGGTTTCAAATGAATCCAATAGCTTTTTCGTAGATCTTATATAATTTGTATTAGAAAATTTTTATATGTATATGTATATTAATTTGTGAACCACTTAACAAAATTATTTGATGACTTAGTGGTAAGGAAGGTCGTGAAAATGTTTCTACACTAGTGTTGTGGGTTTGAATACCACCATATCAACAAAAGTCTCTTTTGTTTTAAGAAAAAAAAAAACCATGATTTGCAATATTTTCTCTTTTATCTTAAAATTTAGAATTCTCAAACTCTTAGGGGTCGTTTGGTTGGAAACAAGTTATCTCAGGATTAATTATCATGAGGTTAACTACCCTGGAATAATTTATCCCACCATGTATATGGGATAACTTATCACATCACTATGATATAAATGGTGGGATAAGTTATTCCAAACACAAGATACAAAAAATTTATCACTATTTTCTTATCTCATTACTATTTATTTTTATCTCTCACACCAAATGACCCCTTAATCCTGGTTCTGCCTCTGATGAGATTGCTCCTTCTTTAATCAGATGTCTCGAATTCAAGTTTTAGGTTGAATTAGTCAGACTTCAATATGAATAAATCGAGTGAGAAACCCAAAAATATGAAGGGTCAATATCACATTTAAATTATTACTTTCTCCAATTTATGTACCTTGACTTGATACAAAATTTAAGAAAACAATAATAAAAATATGTCATTCTTTTTATAACCGACTAAAATAGATAATGAGTCATATAAATTGAGACAAATGAATTACGAATAATTATTTTTTTAGTTCATCCAAGTAACAAAGTCGGGTCTCACTTTAACAGTAGTCAACTGCCACAACTGACGAGGGACCTACTTCTCATCAATCATATTCTAGATTACTTTTTTCCACTAAATATCCTAATTTATTAAAATGTTATCACTTTTCATGATTTTGGTTTATTCAATTTAAAAAAAGAAATAATAACTTTAATTTGTTTGGTTTGAAAAGAGAACTATAGTTTTTTTTAATCTATAATTAAAAGATCTTACACAAAACAATAAATCAAAGAGTATTTTACGAAGTTTACATTTTTTTAGGGAGCGTAAGTTAAGAGGAAGTCATGTATGAATATTTTATTCGATTATCATACATTCTTAAATAAATATAGAACAACCAAACTTCCACCAATTCCAAATGTAATGATTTAAATGGTATTCGTCTAGTAACTTATACATGTATTGGTTATGCGAATTTTTAAATTGTTAATCAGATCTCGTATTAGTTTTATATATGAATAACTTATTTTTTATCTCTTTATTAAACGTTGTATAAGTTATATAAAAATTAATACTTGGTTAACTTATTTATTATTCAGCTACCAAACGATCATGAATAACTAATACCTACATAAAATAATACATAGATCCACTCGTAACTAATTTTTATATTACTAATAACTACATATTTCTAACTAGTTGTCAAACGACTCTAATGAACCATCTGGTAGCTAGTTAAAGATAATTTAGTCATGTATTAATTTATGTATAAGTTATACAAAATATCTAATAGCTAGCTAGCAAGTAAGTTATTCTCATATGTAAATTTAATACACATTTGATTTGCAATTTAAAAACCAACTTAACTAGTATTACATATGTAAGCTATGTGGGAATAAACGTATTATTTTATGCATGCCGGAATAGAAGATGTAATAGTTAATACCGCTTTTTGACATCAAATCAAATCATCAAAGTAGTTGTTGTTTTTACTATTAAAATAAATTAACTTGTTGAGTACCTCATTTGTGTCAATTTCAACTTCAAGGTGTGCAACTTTCATCGATGTTTCCTTTCAATAAAAAATCTTTTTGAAATGTATTAGTAACAATTAGGAGTATAAAAATTGCGAAAATTGACCAAAATGGTCCTTAATTTCAACTTCAAGGTGTGCAACTTCCATCGATGTTTCCTTTCAATAAAAAATCTTTTTGAAATGTATTAGTAACAATTAGGAGTATAAAAATTGCGAAAATTGACCAAAATGGTCCTTAATTTCAACTTCAAGGTGTGCAACTTCCATCGATGTTTCCTTTCAATAAAAAATCTTTTTGAAATGTATTAGTAACAATTAGGAGTATAAAAATTGCGAAAATTGACCAAAATGATCCTTAATATATGAGGGATGAGCCATTTTTGTCCTTGATATATCCATTTGACAAATATGGTCCTTGATATATATATAAAATATGAAATATTTAATCCAAAGCCCTAAATCTAACGTATTTTCTTTAAAATGTGTAAAACTAATGACTCTAATTTATTATCTAAAGAAAAGAAAAGAAAATGACTAACGTTCTTTTTAAGGATGGGCAAACAAAGATTATCCTAACATTTGGAGTAATTTATGCGTTATTCAGATTTGAATGACTTTTCTCCGATTGACAAGGTAACATTTTACTTTGTTCTTTATCTTTCAAGCTTATTTTTACGACTGTATGTAATAACAACTTTTATTGGATGATTTGGTTACATAGTGTTCCAATATTACCCTAGATGAGAAAGTTTTGGAGCAGAAAGATTACAATTTTCATTTTTATCATTTTGAGGATGAGAGCACTCAATTGTGGCATGTTGTTTATAAGTAAGAGTTAATGTTCGTTTAAAATTTAATATATCGAAGAGTGGAGGTAGCGTATAGGAGTAGAAGGTTATAGTAGGGGTAAAATGTTGTCTTGTCCTGCTAAGGTTGTTGCCTAGTACTAGTCGTATCATTATATTTCTTGTTATAAGTTGTTTATTGTATTTCGATTATCACACCATTTGTTGTTGTCACTATTTCCTTCTTGAAAACTTTACCTTGCTTTCTATATTAATTGTTATGTTTTCTTTATTATTTTTTTCTTTTTATACTTGGATTTGATACACTTAAACCCCAGACTTTTTTTCGATTCTAAAATGCCGTTAGTTTTAACCTAAAATTGTTAAATTTAAGTCTTTGGATCAAATATGTAATATTCTTACATATATCCATGGTTATATTCGTTAGTAAAATAAAAATAGTCTCTACCTTTCGGATGAACACTTTGTGTGCGATAAGCCTTCCACCGTATAGTAACCTACAAACTACACAAAGAATATAAATCATATTAGATAAGTCGGACAGCTCGACTCCGAAGTCATTTTGATCAATTGTTCAAAAATAATTTTCTCAGCTATTTCTGTTACGTCACCGCCTGAAATTCGAAACCAAAACAAAAACCTCTCAGAAGAAAGAAAAACACATGTCATCTATCGCAACTCTTTTTCTTTCTATCGCTCTTTTTCAGAAAACCCCATTTCGAATTTCGAGGTAATTTTTCTTCTGGTGGCTACAAATCTTAGATCTTCATTTTCAATTAATATTTTCTTGAAAATCTAATTCTTGGGTTGTTGTTTGAATTGTATGTTAGTTTTTTAAAAATAAAATAAATTTTGGTGTTCTTTTTACTAGTTTAGGTGTAAAGAAAGTTGATTTATGGTGATTTTGAAGCTTTGCTGAAATTTATGTGAGTTTCTTGTTTCTCTTTGTTCATATGTGAAAATTTGGATATTCTGTTTTGTCTGTGTAGTAAAGATGTTGTAAAGTTTGATTCTTTGTATCTTGTTGCTATCTTATTAGTGGAAAGATAAGTGGTATTAGTGGCGGAGCCAGTGTTTTTACTATGGGGTTTGAAATATGTAGAAGTAAATAAGAAGTGGAAGGGGGTAAAAATATCTAATATATATGTAAAAAATAGTTTTAATCAGGTATAAATGGCGTAATTTTCCATCCTGTTAGAATGATGTAGAGGTCTTGGTTAACTTGTAGGAATTTAGAACCTTGAAAAGTTTGTTGGGATATTTGAATGCTGAATCCGAAAAGGTGCAGGCACCATTGAAAAGAATTTTAGTTTGTTGTTAGGTTTCATAGATGATTAGTTTAATCGATAATCGATTTACTAAGATAGTAGGAGGAGGAAGTTGAAAAGGAGTTTAGAATCTTAAATGATAGAAGGGGACTGGCTTATTAGAGGAATCTTGGTATTTAAATAGGAAAAGACCCTATCTTTTTTTTTCCCTTCATCCAAATAAAGAAGATCATACTTTTTTTCTTTCTCTGTTCCCCATATTACAAAGACATATTCAAAGAATAATCTCCTCCTGCTGGCATCACCTTATACCTCACCATTTGAAGTTGCACTTCTCTGTATGAGGTGATCGACCTTCATTTTGATTACTCCAACCACAACGACGTACCTAGTGATCCCACAAGTGGTGTGGTTCTTGGAGGGTGGGGTGTATGCATAACTTACCCTACCTCGTTTTGATTGCTCCATCGTTTAAAACGATGAAATCATGGCTTTTAGTGACATTACGTTTCAGAGCATGGCCTTTTGCCTTCTTTTTTTCTTAATTGCTTTGGGATTGCTAACAGAATGTCTTCTATATTTCTATCATTTTGTGCTTGAACTACATGTTGGAATTTAACCTACTTTTTGGATTTCTAGTTCTAATACTTCCCTACGCCAATTGCCTTGTAATCAATACACATCAGCTATTTACAGCACATACGGTATGTGTAGTATCCGCCTTTTGTGCAGGTACTAAGGTGATTCATAATGTTTGGACGGGGTGCAAGGAGGAGTGACAACTCCAAGTACTATGAGGTGCTTGGTGTTTCAAAGAATTCCAGTCAAG